AACAATAAGTGTGGAGAAGATCTCTCAAGCATGATGAACACACATTCGAGATCTCCCACCAACACGTTGCACAAACATCGATTGATCATTTAACTCCTTCCTCTACAACGATAGACATGCAGAAGGGCGAGAAGATAGTTTTATAGAGAATTGGTTGAACCTTTGGTTTAGCTAAGCCACATCTGAATCATTTAACTCCTTTCTCTACAATGATGGTTTGTGCAGCAATACCCTCAATTCTCCTAAAAATTCTAAAATTTAAAATTAAACAAATTAAAATGCAAAACAAATGTCGTTCCACCTCCATGCAAATTTATAAACCACACTTCGCTTAAAATCCCAAAAGTGACATGTTCATAACATCTCTAAGACAGAAGCCTACATAAAGTTTGTTCCATAGACATACACTTATGCTTGTGGGCAAACATTCTAATAGGACTATCATGATGATTAAGTTGTTGTGAGGTGTGATATAGTTCTAACTTAGAAATCCTACCGTTTCTATTTAAAGTACTTGGAGAATTTGTTTTGATAAAAATGATATAAAACCATAGTATCACATACTCCTCATTTGGTGAGCAATTCCTACCAAAGCCAAATATGACATCCTGCAAGTTTCAAGCCTTCTACATAAACTGCTTGTTATTGCGTTGAGTTTGGTCAAGTTTTGTTCACCCTTGTTGAGAGATTTATCATGCTCCCAACATCAAGATCACGTACACTCCATATACACATGCTGCTCCTACACTAGGAGTACGCACAAACATGCTTTCGTTTAGATTCACCAAAAATTCTGATCCTACACCGGGAGTAGACAAAAATATGTTTGTTAAGTAAATACTCCATGTTATAACAAGATAAAAGATCTCTCTCTAAATATGTGGTTTAGAAGAGACATGGGCTATGCAAAAAGCTAAAAAAATGGACACATGAAAGTCCAAGTATAAAAGAAAAAAATGATGAGCACATGAAGGCTCATGTATTGAAAAAAAGGAAGAAAGAAAGATAGCCATGTTTTAAAATAATAAGTTATAGAGAGAGATCATATCTACAAAAGGAGTATAGTTTTAGTTTATCTTTTTCCACACACATGCACATCTTGATCTAAGAGTATGGCACTTCTCTCCTTGGATCCTCAATTTGACTTTACAACATATGCAATACAAGTATGCTATATTGTTTATCCCTACCTAAAGTTCCACATAAACCTTTTTAGAAGTAGGAGAAAACAAAAGAAGGCAAAACATTGCTATGCCTTGGTAAGGATTTATACACCATTGAGTGATTTGATAGTGCCATTTGAGGAGTATAAAGTGAACTATGCTTTTTCTTGAGAAGAACTTCCAAAACTCCAAGCTGCTAAGATGTGAAATTGGGAAGATGACTTTGTTCCAAGAACTATTCCACTTTTCAACCACCCAAGGAAACATGTTAGCCAACACCATAAATCCCAATTGTGTAAAGAATGTGTTGTAATAGCTTTCATGTAAGGCATATATCTTAAAATGTTTTGCTCAGATTACTTTTATCTCTAACTTTACTCGAGGACTAGCAAAGGGCTAAGTGTGGGGAAGCTTGTTGGCGGTGCTTAACTCACATTTCTAACTGCCAATTTTCATATAAAAATGCTAAAATAAACACCAAGCTTAGACATAGGGCTTTTAGAACTAACAATTTCCACAAGTTTTGATCTTTGACCATTTGCACGAGGACATTCATGGAATACATAGAAAATACATTCAAAATGCGCAAAGAAACAAAGCATAACACCGTATTGCACAAAGCAAAAGAGCCCAAGGGGAGAAAGCCCACTACCGAGCCAAATCAGGGCCCAGTCATGTGGAGAAAAAGAGCCCAAACCCAAACCAAATGATCTCCAAATGGCGTGAAACTTCACAGGCGCGGCCCACACACCCCAGAGGCCCACCAGGCAAAGGTAGTGGCGAGACGGGCCACCCAGGGTACGGCCGCACCCCCAGCTGCGCCAACCTCCTTCCGCTACCACGTGTCATCTCCCCATGATCCCTCCATGGTGGTTGCATGCGGGCTCCCTCCAAATATAGCCCCTAAACCGACCTCTTGAGTACTATAAAAGGAGGGGGAAGGGCTCCCATTCACAACACAACACGCAAGGAAGAAGAGCACACCTCACTTGAGTTAGAGCACCACTCCAAAGGGCTTAGACCCTAGTAGCTAGTAGACTTGGATAAGGAGAGATGTGAGGGAGAGTATGGGGAAGCGCCGGGCTTGTCGGTGTGTCCCCGAGCTTGTACCTTGATGAACACATGTGCCTCAACGGGTTCTCCCGCTAAGTGAGTATTCGTGTTTTCTGTGGTATAAAGTCTTTTGATTAGTTAAGCTTTACTCTTACTTGTTTGCGGGTTCGTCGTCCGCTCTCGTAGCGGATACTCTAGTAGAGGGGCCTGATAAAGACGGATAACCCTACGCGGACCTAGAGTAGTAGTCGACACCGTAGACATGGTGTCTAGGCTAAAGGCTACCTTCGTTTGCCTCATACTCCACGGTTGAGGGGGAGGCGGCAGATGGTGACAGCCCTGTCTGTTCCTTGTAATCCCCCACGTCCGGGTACGGCGTAGAGCTACAAGCCGGTATCGCTTGGCAGACCAGGTGCGCTCCGGTGCCCGAAGTAAGCCAGTAGAAGTAGAATTTATCTTCTCATAGACCCAAAAGCCATAGGAATCCATCCCTACCCTTTCCAACTTTACCCTTGTGTTGTCCTTGGACGAATTAGCTAGAAGAAATACCTTCGTTCCCTGTGGAAAATACGATACCCTGAATACTTCCGGGTGAAAGCTACAACAGTAATTCCGTACACTTGTGGATTCGTTCTGTAGACATTAAAAATATCAATACTTACCCTACTTGCAAGTTGGTTATCCCAACTTTCCCTGGTCAGCAAAGCCCAATAAATGTGAAAAGCCACCAAAACCCTTCAGATTTATACCGAACATGGTGTACATGTTCTCGAGGTGTTTGTTGACTTATATTGAAGCAGTCCCTACACCCACAAACAAGCACAACCAAGGAGGTACAAGTGGAAGCACAAATAAATGATTGAAATATGAAATGTGAGGCAAACAAAATAGAGAGACGCGGCGATGTAATTCCCAGAATTCGGATCCCCACTGGACCCTACATCTTTGTTGAGGAAGCTACGACCGACTACCCCATGATTAAGCTCTATAGCCAGGTTGCTCTCAACCACTTTCCTTGCTCCACTAGATGATCTTTTCCCCTTTCCATGGCAAGACCGCAACCCGCATAAATTGTCTCGCAATACTCCACATGTTGGGTGCTCATCTCGACAACGCCTAGCCATCTAGAAGCCAAGCTCCAAAAGTAACAAATGCACAACCGAATTGCTCGACACAGCCACGAAGTGCTCAAGGGTTGGATTCAGCTCACTAGTGCTCACTTAAGCTCACACAACTCAATTCACTCACTCCAATCCAACAGATTTCATTATTGTCACTCAAATCCTACAAAGGATGGATTGGGAGCTGTAACAAGGCTTAGCTGATGATATGGACATGGAGAAGCTTCAGTAGCCAGCCACAAGGGATAGGAATGAGTATATATATAGCTAACCCCCAAAAACTAGCCTTTGGATAGTTACTTTAGTTACGTTTTTCTCATGTCCACCATTTTATATTTCTGGGCAAATACACTTAATTATACAAGTGAAACCCAAACATGTCGACACCAACAATATAATGATGGAGGTCGTCATGATGCACGAAGGGTTACAGAGTTGCGGCGGCACATATAGAAAGAAGAAGATAGGAAAAACATCGCCTCGGGAGTGGAAATTCTGGAGGATTCTTGCCCCGGCAGCAACGTACTAGTACTTGTAGTATTTGTACGCCGCGCCCACGGGCCACGGCAAGCACTGGCACTACAGTCGTCTACAGAGCAGCATTGGTTTTACGCGAAGGAAGGAGTAAAACTCCACATTGCTCGATTGATTCTTTGCTTCAAGTCCACGATCTAGCTAGCTCTCTCGTCATCGCTCTTGCACGTTAACCGGTGTACTTTACACAATCACGTACTTTTAATTTCATTTTGATCTGGGAGCATGCATGCGGGCAGTGTGTATCGTGCACGTATCCGTTCGTGCGTGCGCCACATATATAGCACGAGTCAACCCGGCCATGCATCTATCACATGCAATGCAACCAATCTGACAGGAATTAATTGGCTTGCAAAGTGAGATTCGTGCTGTATGTAGCTAGTGTACAGTAGTAGTGTCTGTCTGATTAACGGTGACTTTTGATGCTTCTCTGCCCAATGGAAGCCTGTCACCTGTGTGTCCGCGTTAATTAAGCCCCTGTCGTACAGCGGTCAGTACACATACCAGCTGACAAATCATATTATGCATCTGTACTAGCAGGCTTAATTTCTTGGTAAAGTTCACCTTTAAATTTTACTGTAAATTTTTTACAGATTATATTATATATACTATATGATTCTGCACCGCCAGGTAGCGCAGCAGAGGGCATCTCTTGAGAGACTAATTAACAACAGACATATATACAGCACGCATGTAATTACCCTTGCTTGTGTGTCGTTTGAACATACATACATGCATCAGCGATACACTTATACTAGTACGGCGTACACATGCTTCGTCGTCGTCGTCGAGGTCCCCTTATCTCCCTTCCCCTCTAGCTACCGGCCTACTGCTTCGTCTTGCGTTGTTTGCTGCGTGGTGCGTGTTGTGTGTGCCCTACCCGGCCATGTCGCTGCTTATAAATATCGCTCGTTTCACGCTCCCCAGTCGCCATTGCTTTGCTCTGCTAGGTCGCTCCTCTGAGTCCTCTCTTCACTGCCGCCGGCCTGTTAGTATATAAGCTTAGCTTATTTGCGAGCACAAGATCGACCTCAGGATATATACATAGCAGTTTCACGTTCGGCGATAGTTGTCATTGACGATCGATATATAGCACGCAGCTAGCTAGCTGGCCGGGGTTATCTGCTACATGGGCGGTGGGTCGCCGTGCGCGTCGTGCAAGCTGCTCCGTCGGCGGTGCACCAAGGACTGCATCTTCGCGCCATTCTTCCCGGCCGACGACCCCCACAAGTTCGCCATCGTCCACAAGGTCTTCGGTGCCAGCAACGTCTCCAAGATGCTCCAGGTGCGCGCATGTCTGCTTCTTTATTTTCTGATCGACGTGTGCATGCGTACGTCCGCGCGGCAAACTAACGGCGTACATTCATATTTATGCAGGAGCTCCCGGTGCAGCAGCGCGGCGACGCGGTGAGCAGCCTGGTGTACGAGGCGAACGCGCGGATGCGGGACCCCGTCTACGGCTGCGTCGGGGCCATCTCCTTCCTGCAGAACCAGGTGTCGCAGCTGCAGATGCAGCTGGCCGTTGCGCAGGCCGAGATCCTCTGCATCCAGATGCAGCGCCGGGAAGACGGCGGCGGCGGCGGCCCCGATGACGTCGACGTGGTGGTCCCGCCGTCGTCGTCGCTGGTGGTCGGGGCAGGCGGCGGCGCCGACCACCACCACCACCACATGACGATGGCCATGCAGCAGCAGGCGATGATGGCCGCCGACGTCGAAGTGGACGCCTTCCTCATGCAGAACGCCGGCGCCGGCGCCGGCGCCGGAGCCATCGTCCCGCCGCAGCTCATCGGCATGGGCTACGGCGGCGCCGCATCGGCTGGCGCCATGGGAGAGACGGCGGCACTCAAGAGGGAGTCTCTGTGGACGTAGCTAGCAAGCGCATAATTGCCCAGCCCCCAGATTTAGGGGGTGTTTGTTCACTCTTCACCTCTTAAATCTAGTCTCATTTAGTCTCATTTAATCACTTTTTATATAAACACTTTGACTAAATGAAACTAAATAGACTTTAGCCAACTCAAATATTGCTAAATAGGACTAAACTTCACTTTTTAGTCAGGTTGCCTCACCTTTTAGTCACCTTAGAGCTAAACACCGTAACTAAAATAGACTAAAAAACCTCTTTTAGTCTCTTTTAGTCCACCAAACTAAATAGGAGTTACTAAAGTTTATGAGGTGGTTTAGAAGACTAAGGTGCAAACCACCCTTAGTCAACTTTGCATCTGTGTACGTGGTAGGAGCACTGCACAGCCAGCGGCAGCGCGCCTAGCTAGCTATTGTGTAGCTTGCACTGTTTGCTTCACTTCTTGCTTGTAGCTAGGGCTAGCTTAGTTAGGTTAGGCTAGTTAATTAATTAATTAGAGAGACTTCTTTCCTCTATTTTAGTTTCCTCCTTTTAAATCTTGCTGATCTCTCTTATTTCTGTGCTTCCTGTTAACTAGTTCATGTGCTGTGTACTTATCATCATCAATCTGAGAACTAGTTAGTTGGGCCAGGGATAATCCTTGTTCTAATTATTAATGCATTATTCACAGTGTGTGCCATGTGTATGGTTGGCAGCAGGGAGTATATATCAAATATCAAATTCAGACATTCACAAACACGCCGACAGTAATGTGACTGGAAATTTAGTTACTGAAAATTAAAACGAAAAGAGAGATATGTAGAAGGGCATGTGAGGCCAACAACTGGTACTAGCTAGTTATTATCAATATATACTCCCTCGTCCTATAATATAGTGCATTCTAGCATTCAAAATTTATCCTTAAATATAATTCATTCTAGAGAACAAGAACCAATTTTGTATTAAATAATTTTCATTTATCAACCAATCATCATTAACCACGTTGATGATAGCGTCTGATTAGGAAATAAAATGAGAGTACAGTATTTATGTTCTCTCTTAATTTATCTTAAAATTCCTACTATATTATATGAAGAGGGACTATATTCAAAATTTACTGATTGTGATCAGATTGATGAAGATTATATATATTATTAGGGCACGGCAGCTAGCACGCATGTGCATGCGACCAAGTGATCAGATCACATGCATGCATGCATGGGGTGATTAAACTAGTCAAAACACCGAAAGTAGACCAAGCAGGCCCAGCTTCCTTGTCAGACAAACAGCTGCCCCCTACAAATCGAAGCCCGAATCTCCAAAATCCGTAAGGGACGGTGCTTTCTCTTGGCCCTGCCAATGCAGAAACTACACCATAGTTTCTATGAACATTAATTATACTGTCACATAAGTGTTTTGTTGATGTGACAAAATAGTTATTGAAGAGAGACACTACTGGATTCAGGTTCTTTGCCAAGTGCCTGAGGCCAAATTGTACTCGACAAAGCCTTTGCCGAGTGCGGCACTCGGCAAAGAACACACGGCAAAAAATTGATCGACGAAGCCCTCTTTGCCGAGTGTCTTTTATCGGCACTCGGTAAAGAAAAGCGACCGTTACGGCGCCGGCCCCGTTGACGGTGGCTTTGCCGAGTGCCAACCCTGTAGGCACTTGGCAAATTTTTTTTATTTTTTTTAAATTTCTTTGCCGAGTGTTAACCCTGCAGGCACTCGGCAAAGATTTTTTTATTTTTTTTAAAAAAAATTCTTTGTAGAGTGCCCACTGACCGGCACTCGGCAAAGTTTAATTTTTTTTAATTCTTTGCCGAGTGCCCTCTTTCCGGCACTCGGCAAAGTTTGAATTTTTTTTTGATTTTTTACGGCACTCGGCAAAGTTTGATTTTTTTTAATTCTTTGCCGAGTGCCCTCTTGCCGGCACTCGACAAAGTTTGATTTTTTTTTTTTCTTTTGCCCTCTACAATGCGGCACTTTCGGCAAAGTTTGATTTTTTTTAATTCTTTGCCGAGTGCCCTCTAACCCGACACTTTCGGCAAAGTTTGATTTTTTTGTGGAAAATTCTTTCCGAAAGTGCCCTCTGGGCTGGCACTTTCGGCAAAGTTTGAATTTTTTAATTCTTTGCCGAGTGCCCTCCTGCCGACACTTTCGGCAAAGTTTGATTTTTTTAAAAAATTCTTTGCCCTCTGAAATTTGCACTTCGAGTGCCCTTTTTTAATTCTTTGCCGTGCCTCTCCTAACGACTTTTCGGCAAAGTTTGATTTTTTTTGTGAATTCTTTCGAGTGCCCTCTGGGCTGGCACTCGGCAAAGTTTGAATTTTTTAATTCTTTGCCGAAGTGCCCTCCGACTCGGCAAAGTTTTTTTTTAAAAAAATTCTTTACCGAGTGCCCTTCTGGCAATTGCACTCGGCAAAGTTTGAATTTTTTAAAAAAATTCTTTGCCGAGTGCCCTCTTTTGAATTTTTTAAAAAATTCTTTGTTTGCCCTCTTGCTTGATCGGCAAAGTTTGATTTTTTAAAAAAAATCTTTGTCGAGTCCTCCTCTCCGGCACTTTCTCGCAAAGTTGGATTTTTTAAAAAAATTCTTTGCGAAAGTGTCATGGTCATAACTTTTCGGCAAAGCTGAAAAATGGTTTTCCATCAGCCCATTTTTCGACTTTCTTTGAAAGTCTTTGTGACCATGGCACTCGGCAAAGGGGTCCTTTGCCAAGTGCAACACTCGGCAAAGTGACCCAAAACAATAATTTTTAATTTTTTTTACATTTTATCATGACAAATAAATTCATACAATAATATATCTCATTCATCACTTATATATCTCATCCATCACATATATATCTTATCCATCCACACATCCATCCGCACATATCACATCTATCATAATATATATCACATATATAATAATAAGTGCTCAAGTCTATTCAAATAAATCCACAAGTCCATCAAAGTCCACAAGTGCATCACAAGTCCATCACCAAGTGAACAACAAATAAAAAAAATACAACGTGCACTCATCTCGGCCACTGCGACTGTGGTGAAGGCCCAGCTGCATCATTCGGAGGTGCATGAGGTGGATTATTTGAACCACCATCAGATGAAGACTGCACAAAGAAGTAAAGATTGCATGTGAGACAAGATTATTTATATAGCTAATCTAGGAAGGTAGAGGCCATACAAGCAAAGCACAAGCGAAAGTAAAAAACTTTCATACTCACAGGAGTAGCTGTAGCTGCAGGACGCGAAGGCGGAGGTGGAACCAACAGCCTAGCTGGTAGAGAGATGTCCTAGTTTGTAAGCATCGTACATGACAACGTGCATGAAATCTTCTAAAATTTTTATCATAGCCTCCACATATGATATCACGACATCTCAACAAGTTTCATGATTTTTGGACTTCGTTTGCTTTTTATAGAATTTAAAAACACTTCGCACGCAAGTTTGCGGTCATATTTCGTGAACAAGATGTCTAAAATTTCGGATCAGTTCCTGGATACGGCCTCACACTACACTCAGTAACATGACTATCATTTTTTGAATCATTAAATTCCATTATTCGTACCACGTGCAGTTCAAAATTATATTTTTCGAAAAAATTCAAGTAAATAAAATAAAGTAACTAAATATATCAAAAAGCCATAAAATTCCCTAAATTCTAATTAGGAGTTCCTGGTGCTTTAAAAGGGCTGCACAAAAAAATTAAAGGCCAAAAACAAAAAAAAAACTTTGCCGAGTGCTGGGGCATGACACTCAGCAAATGGGGTCTTTGCCAAGTGCCACGGATAAGGCACTCGACAAAGAGGGTTTTGAATTTTTTTAAAAAAATTCCTCTTTGCCGAGTGTCTTCACAGGGCACTCGGCAAAGACATTTTAAAAAAATTTAAATATTTATCGAGTGCCGTGGCACTCGGCAAAGTATTTTTTTAAAAAAAAGACATTTTTAAAAAAAATCTTTGCCGAGTGCCGTGCCAGGGGCACTCCGCAAAGTATTTTAAAAAAAATTGTCGAGTGCCAGATCTAGGACACTCGGCAAAAAAATTAAAAAAAAAATTAAATCTTTGCCGAGTGCCAGATATAGGACACTCGGCAAAGAATTTTTTTTAAAAAAAATTAAATTTTTGCCGAGTGCCTAACAGCAGCCACTCGGCAAAGAAGGACGTGGCCGAACGGGTCAGCCTATGCTGAGTGCCGCGCTTTTGCCGAGAGTCTGACACTTGGCAAAGAAGTCCTTTGCCGAGTGCATTCTTTTGCCGAGTGCCGGGCACTCGGCAAAGAACTTTTTGCCGAGTGCAATTCTTTGCCGAGTGCCCGATTTTTGACACTCGGCAAAGAATTTTGCACTCGGCAAAGTCTCTGTTTCCCGTAGTGAGAACAAAAATCATAGAAACCGGATCTAAATTAGAAACCATGTCTACATGAAAATCAAGACATAAAGGGATGTGATTGATATAGAATAGAGAAAGAATGTATATGATTAGATAAAAAATTGTTTTTTTAGAAACTATCAATTGGAATCATAATTTCTATACGTTGTGTGTAAAAATTAATAGGTAAGCATTGGGATTGCCCTCACGCGACCTTGCTAGCTAAACACCAAATTCAACGGTACGACCTGATTAGTACGGCTATATATGTATGGACATGAGCACCGTTTGTCTCTAATGATGCGGGTGCACAAGATATTTTCTCATGTGTAAGCATGGGCATGTCACAGTTGATCATAACAATGTCATTACTCAATAATCCGAGTTTAACAAAACATATCTTAATAAGTCCTTGAAAATATATACTACCTTTTGTCTCAAAAAACTTGACATCAAAGATTTTTCAGACACATGACTATATAGCGGAGAAATGGCCATGATACTTCGCTCTATTATATTCATTAGATATGTGTTTCCCCTTAAAACAAAGCCATATTGATTGAGTACTATACAAAAGAGCAACGCATGGGCTTATATAATTTAGAAATTGCATATAGACATGTAGATTAGTTACCATTCCTAGGTTTAATTAGTGTG